AAAAAAAATAAAAAAAAAAATAAATATACCGACGAATTGAATACCTCCTTCTTTTGGGAAGTCGGTCAAAAATATGGATCGAAGTATAGAAACTATTATTTGTTTATTACAACTTCGTAACTATAATCAAAGATACAATCACTTTCACATCACTTATAAATATAATACCAATTTATTGGCTATCGCTAATGCTGTAGTGTAAAAGGTAATAAAAACTATATTCCGCTGTTAAAATTTATCTATTGACTATCTGGTCAATATCAGGAATATCAAGTGGCTATAAAGACAGGCAGAGAACATTTCTATTCATAATACATTTTTATGAGTACAAAAATATGTTAACTATAGTAAAAATTGCTGAGTCATAAGACTGAGGGAACATCTGTTTCTTGATTGTCCGCTTGCACTGATCAACTAAGAAGCTGACTGAAAACCAAATGAAGGAAAACCTTTTAAAAATGAAAATGTTACCATACTACTTTATGTGAATTTTAACCCACGAACAAACAACTATACTGGATATACAGTTAAAGGATTCAGAAGTTTCTCTACTTACTGTCATAATGCACAATGGTATCACGTACAGCAATACAAAGTTGACCATATCGAATATCTCAGAGTTATACTTCATGCGATGCTGTATGCAAATGGTCTCCGTGTGTCCGTCGCCCAGATTGTTCGTTATCGTCTCCACCCAAATGAATTTAGGCGCGCTATATGCCGCACTAGTTATCCATACACCTAGTATCACCAGCTGCAAACATCACGTAACACTTTAACACAGAAAAAGTTAGAGTTTAGATTTTTTTGGAGTTTCTATTGATTTTGTTAGACTCCCCTTAGTTTTGAATAGGTGAGGTAGTTAGGCAAATTTTTGTTATAAAAGAATTTTCCTTGTCCTGAATATGAGAAGCCCGAATTTGATGCTGCTGAAAGTTACCTAATTATACGCCTCTTAAATGGTTGTTACTGTGGAAACTTTTACGATAGGCTGAATACTATTACTGTAATAGGCGTTAATTGCTAACAATACTAAAAGGCTTTTATATCCCAAGTTATTGTAACTTCGGGAGTGCTTCAAAGATCGCAATTGCTTCAATTGTTCTTTATTATACTTATTTACGATCTTGATATGAAGCAGTATACGCTGTACTTATTTATGTACTTTCACTAAACCAATTAATAGATGTTTTGGTATATTTTCGAAGAATTAAAATATTTGTAGACATGCTTTACTATAAAAAATGACATACGGTTAAAGATTGTTATGGTAGTTGTGATATTTGTTTTGGAATGTTGGAAATTAATTGCCAATCTATACTTCTATACTAATAAACGCGTAAACACACACTACTTTGTGGCGAAGGATGTCAGCAATCACAGCAAATTTTTGAATAATTCTTTCTTCAATTAACAGCCCTGTACTTACTACATACTTTAGGATATATATTTTCACGCTTTTAAACTTAGGGGATGAAAGGAAGCAATATTGCCGTGGTTTGTCATTATGTCATGTCATGATATTTGCAATTGATAATTTGACAAATGTAAACAATAAAATATAATTTTCATCATATTATGCGGATAAAGCCGCACGGGAACAGCTAGTTAAGAATATAATGTTTACCATCATTATATCAAGATTTGGAATATTTACCAAGATCAAATAACCTTAATTAATTTCATAATATTCTGCGCTCTAATTAATTTTAAAAGCAAAATCTGCGTCGTAATTGTTAAGGAAAATATTTACATGTGAATTAATTTTAAAATCTTACCCTTAATCTAGTAGACGTGAGAATTTGCTTGCATGTAATTGGATGAATTATAGCGAAATATCTCTCGGTGCAGATCACGACCAGGATGAATATAGATGCGGTGTAACTGAGGGAGTGCACGAACTGGTACATCTTGCATAAAAAATCACCGAAAACCCAACTAAAAAAATTAAAACTCATTAAATTTCTAACAATTCAGTTTTAACGGATTCTTCAAAATTGGGATTTACAATTGAAAAAATATTAGTAAGACAAGGAGTCTACGTGTAGCAAAATCCAAACTAAGAAGTACTCATTAAAATAACTTATACTATTGAAATTTTAATACAAACTTACCTCGGTATTAAGTAAATAGTCAAATTTTGAAATACGCAGAAAACCCCCACGCACAGATCTGCTACAGCGAGATTCGCCAAGAAGAAGTTTGTTATTGACCTCAAACGTCTTGACAAAGTAACAACCAGAATAACAAGTAGGTTGCCTGCAAATGAAATCTTATTCAACAATTTATATCAAAAACTCCTTGTGGTTTCATTCAATTTCCTTATATTATTAACATAAGAAAACATTTACGCTTTTTTGGAAGAGGGCTCTAATGTTTGGTTTTAATTTTTAAATCCTTAAAAACAAAGTAAACCGCTTAACAAAGTAAAGGTTTCAAAGTCAATCTTAAAGGGAAACATAGCAGGCTTATGTAACGAATAAATTACTTAAAAAGCATTAAATCCAAAAAAAACTTTGCTTATTAAAATTTAAATATTGAAGTTAATTTCATAACAAAAATTACTGTTTTAACAAAAGTCATATTAATTACTTACCGAAGAAACAGCAGCAAAACACAATCGTATACAAAGTAATGAATATAGCCCTAACATCAGTTCTATCGAAGATATATTCATCTTCAATAAAAGCATCTTCATCTTCATTTAATGTTGAATTTTGGAATTCCTCATTAAGGCTGAAGTCCTTCGTCGAGTTTTCAATCGGCCAGGCATTGACCACCCTCGAAGTTACGAAGTTCATACTATTCATAGTGTGTGCTTTAATAGTTCATTTGTTTTATTATCTCCTCCATCTCCTGCAAATAATATATGTAGTTCAAACTAAATGTTAAAAACCTAAATTACCCATTTATACGCAGAAAAAAGATCCAGGTCCTGTTGTGTTATTTTTAATGGCACTTTGTTAATTGACGTGAATAGTATTTTTAATTATTGTTTACTAAGCGCGAGCATTCAAATGCGAAATATATTTTTCGTGATTTTTGTTTTTACATAAATTAGTTCGAAACATTATTAATATCCTACGTTTCCTAGATCGTCATCATCAAAATATTTTTTGGCAATCATGTTTTAATTAAGAAAAGTTCAAACAAACACATAAATCGGTAGTTCGTTAAAGCTACGTTAAGAGAGTATACGAGTTCGTTTATAGGTTAGCCACTTCTCTAATTGTCATTTTGGTCGACAAATCGAAAATGGAGTGTCCTTGATACATACATTATGTTTTTTATTGATTTACATTTTCGCTTCCCCTAAAAGTGATTGGCTTGTAATATAACGATAGCTGTATTTTATCTGATATCTACACTCAGATAGAGCATATGAATTGAGAGACAATTAAATACGTGATAGTAAATTGTAGATATGTTTGAGGCTTGCGTCATAACCACGTCATTCAGGTGTAACAAAACAATCCGTTTAAAATTGACACGACGCGACGGTATCGAACCCATTTTATCCCCTAGCTTACAATACTATGCCCTCCGGTGCATTCGTAGTCTAAGGGTAGGTTGTAAGTTGTGTCGCTGGATAGGACCCGAACCGGTTTATACGGCACAATTTCTATTACCATGGAGGTACGCACACTACTTGATTTTTAGTTGTGTAACTAAACAGTTAAATTGGCTGCGAAACAATAGAGAATCCATCGTTGAACTATTGATGTCACGTTTGTTTATTAATAATCTGGAAGCTGCTTTAAATTCGGGCATTATTTCTATCACGGTGAACATATAACTACTAGCAACCTACAATGCACCGTTGCGCAATGCGATATTATAAAAATAGAGTAGAATATCGCTACGATTAAAAATATACGTTTTTTTTATGAAACTAAGTTGACTGTTAGACATTGCTATCTACCTACCTCCTAGTGCGAGTTTATCAAAGAGTAAATGTTCAGTGGAGTTCACACTGGGCACAATTATTAATTGTGTTATGACATGTATAATAGTAGCTTGTATTCAGTTATTAATTCATAAACAGGAAACAAACTAATCAATATATTTATTGATGATTGAGGATTATAAAAAAAAAATTATAGTCTGAAACAATGTTTAAATCTTAAATTAAACAACTAGAAGTTTCTAAAAGCTAATAAACAACGATTACATGATCATGTTTAATTTAAAAATCTAAAACGTTAAAATAATAAGGCATTCATGTTTCTGCATCGGACCTATTACTAGACAATAGACCGCAATGAATGTCTGTTCCGTAATAAAACAATGAACTGTCCTACATCAAGTAACATCTGTCATGCAAAGTACGTATTCCATTCAGTAGAAAATAACTTTACTTGGCAATTACACTGAACATAATATAAGTACTTTAACGCTACACTTATGATTGCCTGTTTTCTGTGACAAAAGTATAATAACTGAGTAGTTTCTCTAATTATGAGTTTGAACTAAACATCGTGCACACTCATACAAGACTGGTAGCAATAAAATAAACTCGAGAAAAACGTGGGCCGTTTTAAATGCTTATGTATTTGCCACAAAATAATTTATCTATCATCAAATACTTTGATGAAAGTTTGAAGAATAACCGCATTCTTTACAAATACCAGATCAATATAAATTAAAGTTCGCGGTTAATAGTTACCTATTCCCATATTTTTTCGGTTGCGCGATAAATTCTTACATCATGTTCAAGGTAAAATGTCCTATTTTATACTAGGATTTAAATTTATATTTAATTCTTAGATTTCGCCCGCGACTCCGTCCGCTTGGAATTAAAAAAAAAACAAAAGTGAATAATAGAAATAGCCTGTGTGTTCTTCCAGACTATCCTCTACATCTATGCCAAACTTAATCAAAATCCGTTAAGCCGTTTAGGCTACAAACTCTAACAAACATCCATCCATCCATCCATCTAAACTTTCGCATTAATAATATTAGTAAGATTAAGAAAAATAAGATTTTACAACAATTAAAAATGTATGTGAGATTTTGACGCAGGTAAATATACTAAAATGTTATAGAACATGTGGTTCAAATCTTCCATTCCAAAAGTTATAGATAGATAGATAGTAGAGTAAACGTGCTGCTTGAAATTGTTATAGTAGTGCACAGTTCACATGTGACACGACAAAATGAAATTGTATTTGAGACATACAACATGGTGGTAATAAGAATTCTTTGACGAGATTAAATTCTTTTATAAGCTAGATTTTACATAGAAAAGGAATGCATTGAAATGGTTATTGAGGAAATCGAACATACCTACGGGAACATCTATTACTGCTTCTTGTACTTTTACTGTGTAGGATTATGTGTTTTTGTTACTAACTATGACAATTCATTACGATCTCCTGATCTCTAAGCAGTACTCGCGGTAGTGTACGCGACCGCCTAAAGTACCGGATATAAAGGAGCAGCACAAGCGCATAAAGATGCACATTTTATCATTTGTATTGCAGTTAGAAGTTGGCATAGAAATCTCGCTCAGGGCACCGGTAACATTAAACGGATCGGCTTCAATAGGTGCCATTCGCTTTTAGGTATTATTCCCGTCTATAAAGCCAGCACAATTTAGTGGTTTATTATAATTAATTTGAACTTGCGATTTATCGAAATATATTGCAACTTAACTAACTTGCATACGATTCATAATCAATTAATTAGCACATCTCTAAGTGACATCTAATCGATTAAAATATAGATTTGAACTAATCAATAGCACCGCCCTTTACCTTAATTTCACATAGAAAATATAATAGTTACGTGTTTGTGGTATATAAATTTCGATAAGCTTAAATAATTTCTTTCTTGCCTCATATATTACTTTGCGAAGGAATTGCTCATAAAACTAATTCCAAATGTCTCCAGTATTTCTTAAGGAACTGAAAAGTAAGACCGCTTTTATTTTTATTACAATTATTTCTCTTCGTGAATTCTTTCTGAATTCTAACTACTTTCTATTTCTGAAAAAATATAAGTTGTAAAATAATGCAACTGTTATTTAAAAAGAAAATTTTAGTTTTAATACAATAAATACTCATTTGTTTCTATTAACGTCCACGTAGTTCCCAGGAGACTCCGAGTCATTTCATACGAATAATCATAATTATTTGTATGTTTGCTTTTAAAATACGGGTTGGGTTAAGTGATTACTATAATCAAATTAATATGTTTGATTTTTTTTTTTATTACATAAGGTGGCAAACGAGCAACCGGCCACCTGAATCAGTCAAAATGGCGAAGCGACCGCTGCCCATAGACATCCGCAATTGCTGTTGCCTACCCTTATCCGACGGAGGAGAAGACGCACATAAAGAGGACACTTCCCCTTCCCGTCCTCTCCTTATAAGAAAAGGGTGGTAAAGAGAAAGAGACTTAAATTAGGCCCCCGGCACCACACTCATCAGACGAAACACGGAATTGCTTCCATTTCACGCCTGTTTTCTGTGCGGTCGTGGTATTACACAGGGCGTGCTGGGCCCATTCGTGCTAAGATGTTAAAGCGGGCACTGTCTCTGTAAAACTGAATTATTACAGTGACCTGTAAGATATTGGACAAGAAAAGAGCTATGAAAAACTTTAATTAATTCGTAAAGTAAAACGTCTCATGGCAACTTTTAGCTAATAAAAATACTAGTTATACAACTCGACAGTTTCTCCTTACGAAAATATTATATTAAGGCGAAAAAAATGTTCTTTAATGGAAGCTTGTATTAAAAATAGTCGAATCGTGTCAAGAACCTTTGTTAGATACTTAAATTTGTTGCGTCTTTTCTTTCTCTTTGACTCCTAAAGCTAAGAGTAATAGCAACTTAGCAACTAATATCCATTATCTATTGTATCTTTCAATTAAAGTTATATTAAACCTGACATATACTTCTAGAGATAAGCGCTTCAAACTCTCTGCCTTTATTTCATCAGTCTAAATACTTGCTGACATGAACTCTCTAAATGTGAAAGAATTTTTAAAAACGCACCAGTGAACAAAACTCCCAACTATAATATTAAAATAGTAAAGATCACGGATTAGATATAACTTTTATTCCGTATTAGGAATCCAAAGAACATATTTCATTTGGGATGCCTGCGATACTCAGTTACTGCTCTTCTCGTTTCTCTCACTCTTGATTTATTGACGGCATTAAACTTTTGATTGCTTTCTTGTTGCTTTCAATTTATCCGAAATGTTTTAAGCAGCAATATTTCAGAAGGATATTTGCTTTAATGTGATATTAAAGTTTACAAATGTCAAAATAACCGTTACCATAATAACCATAATAACCTTGCTTCCATAATGTTGGCAGCTTGTAGTTTATGGTCCCTTTCCCACATTAAGGTTTTTTCCAATTTATTTAGTAGCTTGAAAATGTATAGCCTAAAGCGTGTCGTGAGGATTTTTTATAATATTCAAAATTATGTTGTAATTGCTGATATCCTACGCCACTAGGTAGTGTATGTTTACGCTTTATTATATTCGTATATGTAGGTAGAAAATAATAAAACAATGGTAATTAAGATAATGATATACAGAATCCGAAAGTCCAAACAATTGTCGTTTTTAATGTGGAATACCGCGAAAATCCCTGACTGTACGTAAATTTATGTAGGTGTGAAAAAAACGAGATGATTATCTGCAATTGATGGATGTGTTAAAATATGTGTAAACATAAAAACAGTTAATTCTCAAACACATGAACATTATTTATAAAACGTCTAATTACATTAAACAGCTTTTCGTTACCGGAACAATATTTCAACGTAATATTTAGAAGAAGCTAACATCCGG